ACGGGTTTGAGTAGTGACGATCTGGGAGTGAACCTAATTGTGGATGAGTTGGAGTGTGAATGAGTCTCAATAGTACGAGCGCGTTTCTGCGCATAAGCCTGGGGTTTCCTGGGGCCTCCTGAAACCTCCTGGGGCTTCCTGGGGCCACCTGGAGCCTCTTGGGGCCTCCTGGGGCCTCTTGGAGCTTCCTGTGGCCTCCTGAGGCCTCCTGGGGCCTCGTGTGGCCTCCTGGGGCCTCCTGGAGCCTCCTGGAGCCTCCTGGGGTCTCCTGAGGCCCAATATATAGGAACAGACGTACATAAAACACTGCGGAGTGGAGCCGCAGGAAAAGAGCAATATATAGGAACACACGTGAAACACCAAGGACTCGTGCACGTATGGGAGGCCCAATCGATAGGAACAGACGTAAAACACTCAGGATTGGATACGCAGGGGAAGGACACTCTATCGGAACATACGTAAAACACCAAGGATTCGTGCTCTAAATGAGGCCCAATCTATAATGCCATCCGTAAACACATGGGATTGGAGCCACTCCTGTGGCCTTCTGATGCCTCCTGCTCCTGGGGCCTCTTGGGGCCTCCTGGACCCTCTTGGGGCCTCCTGGGGCCTCCTGAAGCCTCCCGGGGCCTCCTGTGGCCTTCTGTGGCATCCTGATACCTCCTGGTACCTCCTGTGTCACTGCACCGACCTTGTAATTAGACGTGCTGCAGCGGATTTTTGGGTGGAGTGCTGTCAATGCAAGACCCCGAAACGGCGAGCGACAGACGAAGTGCATTTCACGTGGATGTCTTTTTTAGTCTTCATTCCTGGCCCAAAAAATCACCAAGTACTTTGAAATACGTAACGAAATTATTCGGGGATGGACAGACCCCCCTTTAATAAAACGTGGTTTAGTGAAAACGACCTGAGGCCCAAACCTGGCGTGCGCAAGCCTGGAAAATAACGGCCACGGCGCCCTCTCGAGAACCGAAAACGGACAATTCACTAATCGACGTGTCACTATTGGGGGTTCTGTCCACCCCCGAATTATCCGGGACACTCCGGGCCCACCTTCTTGTTTTCCGAACAAGATCCGCTCTGCAGTGTTGGCGCCATGATCTGCGGCCTCCTGGAGCCTCCTGTTGCCTCCCCGGAGGCTCCTGTGGCATCCTGAAGAGGATCCGTGTCCACGAGTCTGGCCAGCAAAATAAGCAAACCGCTCGAGGCATCCTCAAAATCTGGCCCCCTTTGGGGGCGAAAATGAGCGCCTCGCTCGAGACATCCTCCAAATCTGCTCCAACGGCGGAGGATCTGGGGCACCAAAACAAGCAAACCGCTCGAGGCATCCCCGCCTTGGCGCGAACGAAGGAGTGCAATACCCCCTGACGGCTTCCCCTTGGGGATGCTGAAACCATCGTCTCGCTCGAGACATCCTCAGAATTTGCTCTGCCATCATAATCATCATCATCATCATCATCATCATCATCATCATCATCATCATCATCATCATCATCATCATCATCATCATCATCATCATCATCATCATCATCATCATCATCATCATCATCATCATCATCATCATCATCATCATCATCATCGTCATCATCATCATCATCATCATCATCATCATCATCATCATCATCACCGTCATCAGCATCATCATCAGCAGCATCATCATCATCAGTAGCATCAGCATCAGCATCATCATCAACACCAACACCAACGTCATCATCATCGTCGGTATCATCATCAGCATCACCATCATCATCATCACCGTCATCAGCATCATCATCAGCAGCAGCATCATCATAATCATCATCGCCATAATCACAACAGAACGTACAATAGTATAAAATAGCATGATATATCATAACAGGCATACCATACAAACATCAAACAGTTCAAATCATAACATAACATAAGATATCATAACATACCATATCATAGCATGGCATGGTATAATACAACATAGCATAACCTAACATGAAATGGCATATCATACCGTAACATGAGGAGGAGGAGTAAGTCTTCAGGAGTTGGCGCGGTCGGAGTAATGATAAGAACCTCATCCTATGGATATGGGGAACAAGAACCCCATCCTTCTGAGATGGGGAATAACAAGAGACCCATCAATTGGGTGTGGGGACTGCTGCTAATAATATCAAAACAACGATCACAACAACAACAACAGCACCAACAGCAACAAAAAGTATTCACTACGTGGAACTCCCCATATGTGCATCTATTCGCATGGACCTGTCCGCCGTGAATGTCTAGGCGCAAGAGTTTTCGAATGTAAGCGGGCTTGAGTTGTGAAGGTCTGGTCATTAATCTAACTTCGAACGGACTGGAGCGTGAATGAGTCTCGGTAGTACGAGCGCGTCTCTGCGCATGAGCCTGGGGCCTCCTGGGGCCTCCAGAAACCTCCTGGGCCTTCCTGGGGCCTCCAGGAGCCTCTTGGGGCCTCCTGGCGCCTCTTGGGGCTTTGAGTGGCCTCCTGATGCCTCCTGGAGCCTCGCGTAGCCTCCTGGAGCCTCCTGGAGCCTCCTGGGACCTCCTCGGGAGGATTCGTGCCCCAGCGGAAGCCCGATCTATAGGAACAGACGTACACAAAACATTGCGGATTGGAGCCACAGGAGAAGGGCAGTCTATAGGAGCACACGTAAAACACCAGTGACTCGTGCCCCAGGGGAGGCCCAATCTATAGGAACAGACGTAAAACATTTCGGATTGTATACACAGGAGAAGGACAATATATAGAAACATACGTATAAAATCAAGGATTCGTGCTCCAGGTGAGGCCCAATCTATACGAACAGACGCAAAACACGTGGGATTGGAGCCACTCCTGTTACCTTCTGAGGCCTCCTGCTCCTGGGGCCTCTCGGGGCCTCCTGTTGCCTGGGCCTCCGGGCGCTTCCTGTGGCCTCATGGGGCCTCCTGTGGCTTCCTGAGGCCTCCTGGAGCTTCCTGGGGCCTCCTGGAGTCTCTTGGGACATCCTGTGGCCTCTTGAATCTTCCTGTAGCCTCCTGATGCCGGGACCTCATGTGGCATCCTGGGGCCTCCTGAAGCCTGCTGGAGCCTCCTGTGGCATCCTGGGGAGAATATGTGCCCACGAGTCTGGCCACCAAAACAGGCAAACCGATCGAGACATCCTCGAAATCTGGCCCTCCTGGGGAGCGAAGATGAGCGCCTCGCTCGAGACATCCTCCAAATCTGCTCCGAAAGCGGAGGATGCTGGGGGCCAAAACAGGCAAACCGCCTGAGACATCCCCGCCACTTGGGCGCGAGCGGAGGCTGTGCAATACCCCTGGCGGCCCCCACTTAGGAGGCGCCTCGCACGAGAGATCCTCAGAATCTGCTCCGAAAACGGAGGATGTTGTTGGGAACTAAAACAGGCAAACCGCCTGAGACATCCCCACCACTTGGGCGCGAACGGAGGCCGTGCAATACCCCTGGCCGCCCCCCCTCAGGAATGCTAAACCCAGAAAACCGCTCGAGACATCCTCATCATCATCATCATCATCATCATCATCATCATCATCATCATCATCATCATCATCATCATCATCATCATCATCATCATCATCATCATCATCATCATCATCATCATCATACTCATCCATCATTCACCATCACCTTCATACTCACAGAATGCTCTGACCCTACCATGGTCATCAGAATGACAATCATCACCATTGTCTAGTGCAGAGAGGGTGGTAGGTGGTCTGGCGAGGTCGGAGATGGACCCCCCCTCCATGCGATCTTGAACACGATTAAACAGGAATGTGTTTTTACAAATACAAAAAATAATGCCCCGAATCCAAAAGAAAAATCGATCCTGGGGCCATCCTCTTCTCTCTTCCGTCTCCCACCATATTATTCCTCTCTTCCTGCTCGTGCTAGGGATGAGCAATCTTGCTATACCCTTGCATTCTTGCCACTTCGGCCCATCTCGGGCCTTGCAAGGACCTTGCATCTTTGCCGCCCATCCTTACTACGCAAGTCGACTGTAATACTACGAGCATTCCCTCCCCCCCCCATGCTTAGCCACGAGCCTCGAGATCGCTCGAGTCAGCCTTGTGTCGTGCGCGCGGGCAAGTAGCCACGAGCGTCGAGATCTCTCGAGTCAACCTTGTCGTGCGCCTGGTTAACCTCCTCCTCCTCAAACTCCTGTTAGTCACGAGCCTCGAGATCTCTCGTGTCAGCCTTGTGCGGAGCGCCCAGGATAATCATCATCATCATCGTCGTCATCTTCATCATCATAATTTACCTTCCCCGGGGAAATCCTTTATTATCCCAGGGGGGTCATTATCGCCCGCACAGAGTTACAGCCGAACCTAGGCCAGAAGAACATCATTCAAGAACATGCGACCCTCCGTCGGCCAAAACAAACAGAACAACCAAGGGGGCACCCTCCCCGGGATGCACAAGAACGTCCAACAAGCATGAAGGGCACCCTCCCCGAATGGACCTCGATCTCACACCTCGGTCCGACTGCAGCCTTGGAAAGTTGCTCATCCTTGCTCTGCGCTTTGATCGGGGAGACGTAAGACTCGGGTACGGGGGACTCGGGTTGGCCCGACGGGGCCATCATAAAAATGACGAGGCCCAATCTGAAATTTGACGCGAGCTCCCGCTGCAGACATCCCACGAAAACTGGACCGTCAAAATCCAGGACGCGCTCGTCAAAAAAACGTCGGCAAACCCGAGTTCCGGCTTACTCGAACCTTGCGTTCCCCCGCTTTGACTGCATCGAATCCCATCGATCGGATCGCAGCGGGCCGCCGGGCCCCCCCAAGCGGCACGACGGGGGACGCCCGGGCCCCAACGGCGGCAACAGCAGCCGGCGCCCCAACGGCAAGACGTGGGGCAGCGAAGGCCCGGGGCCCCCTTGCGCGCCCCGGGCGGGTGTCCGGCGGGCGGGCCCGTGCGTGTTCCCCGGCAGGGAGCCAGCAAGAACTTCTCGGCGCGGGCACTGCATGGGGGAGATCCTGATACGATTATGTCGATATGTACCTATAAATATATATATATATATATATATTCTCACATACCTATAGATCCATATCTATGTATATATATATATGTGTGTATGTGCGTGCGTTCGCTTTGTATGCCATCTTGTCGAAGCGTGCCCCCGCTGGGTGGGGAAGAGCAGCGGCAAAGAGGCTGCCGGGCCGTCACGTCGCCCTCGTGACCGGTGAGCGTGGCGACGGTGACCTGGCGGGGTGCTCCTCCTTCTCCGCCATCCTCCTCCTCCTCCTCCTCCTCCTCCTCCTCCTCCTCCTCCTCCTCCTCCTCCTCCTCCTCCTCCTCCTCCTCCTCCCCCTCCCTCCCTCCCTCCCTCCCTCCCTCCCTCCCTCCTCCCTCCTCCCTCCTCCCTCCTCCTACTGACCCATACCAGCTACTATATCAAAGCATGTGCTAAATTGGATGCCCAGCAACACTATGACCACCTAGCAGCGTTGTTTACGTCTGAGTGGTCCAAACATCAGCACAACATGGTATTCAAACGACTCAAGGGTATGGGAGCATGCTCGAGGAAAAAGCAATCGATCAGACCGATCACCATGGTGAGGGACCCGACAGGACGACCAGCAGTCCCAGCTGCAGAGGTAGCCAATATTTGCCTTGCACACTTCGGGCATGAGGAGTTGAGCGGCATAGTTGCAGTCGAAGAAGCAGACAAATGACAAAATGCCTTCGCACAGTTGCCGCGAGATCTCACACGCGACATCCCAGCGCAAGGAGCCTTCTTGTTACCATCTCTGCACGAGTTCCAAAGCACTTGTGTCCGTGCCTAGCCATCAGCCGCCAGCCTCGACGGCATATCAGGCAGCTTGTTGCACAGATTCGGAGTGGAGCTCGGTGCATTATATATTCCCATTGTACTCAAAGCAGCTACAAGGTTGGACGAGCCCATGCAGTGGAAGGGAGGGTGCTACTGGGACATATGGAAAAATAGCAGACCCATCATATCCACTTCACTCCAGATCGGTTATGGTCTCTCCTCACCTAGGCAAACAATACCGAGCCTCACTTCGCACCCCTCTCGCTCTTGCATTGCCACATACAGCAGGGGACAACCACTACGGAGGCATCGCGGGGAGAGGGGTTGACCTAGCAGGCGTGGCCATGAGGAGCTTCCAGACCATCGTAGTAGGGAGGAAGCTCTCAGCAACGTTTCTCATGATTGATGCCGTCCAAGCTTTCTACAAGGCCATACGGCAACTCGTGATGGCTTCCTCAAACACGGTGGAGGATCTAGCCATCATACTCAAGTCTACTCGCCTACCGCCCGCCGCATTGCACACCATACAGGCCAAGCTAGCGCAGCCCACACAAGCACTAACACGAGCAGGATTTTCCCAACATGCACCTGCCCTCACAGCTACAACATACCATGGGTCACGGTTCTACTACGCATGGGGCTTCCAACATAGCATTCCCAATGCTAGGCTCGGTACCAGGGCAGCAGCTGGGGGATGTGGTTGTCAACTTTGTTATGGCTGAATGCGTCAATACAGCAGTTACACAGATTACGGCCAAGGATATCCTTTCGAGGTTCCCACAGCAGGAGAGAGATCGCTCACAGCCACGCTCGCAGCAGGCAACGACAAGGCTGTCCAGGCCATCGACATTTGCTTATTTGATGACGGCGCTTTCGTCATCCTCGGCAAGGCTCTGCAGCTTTTGCACATCGTCTCCGATGTGATTGGCACTGTAGCCACGGCCTTCACGGAAGGTGGGCTCCAGCTCAACATGAAGAAAGGCACGTCAGAATGCGTTTTCCAAGTCAGAGGTCCAGGATCAACCAAAGCAAGGGTACGACTTTGGAAGGAATTTGGGGAATGATCGGGGCCGACACACAAGTGCTAGGTCACACGCAGCTACACGCAGTCCGCCAGTATCCCCACCTCGGCACCATCCTGGACGAAAGAGCCTCCCTGTGCCCTGAGCTGGCCCGCCGACACCGAGCGCGCGCATCACCATGGCACCAGCTGCGGCACAAAGTTTTTCCTTCTATGGGAGGCCATGCACCAGACGTTAAAGTCAAGATGCAGTTCCTTGACTCGCTCATCACGTCCTCGGAGCTATTTTACGCTGGCACCTGGCATGGCATGACGGAGGCGCACAAGCGCTCCCTGTGCAGCAGTATTCTCGCCAAGTACCGTTCTGCAGCGCGCATGGCCAAATATGATTGCAATGCAATTAGTGACTCATTGGTTCTTGCAGCAGTACGACGAGCAAATGTGCAGGCACAGCTCAGGGAACACAGGCTACGTGTCTTCGGGAGGCTCCCACACCACGGCTCCGAGGTGCTCGAAGGCCCAGTGGCCATGGCGTGCCACTGCTCCCCCACCTCCTGGCTACGAGAGGTCGTCAATGACCTGGGCTGGCTAAAACACGTCATCAAGGAGCTGGAAGAGCTCCCAGACCCCAACATCGAACCAGGTCCCTGGGAAGCCCTCATCTGCAGGTCACTGCAGTCATGGAGGCAACTGCTCCCGCGTGCGCAGGCCAACCATGCTTCTGCGTCTAGGCGTCTTTCTATTGCAGCAGCAGCAGCAGCAGCAGCAGAAGCAGATTTTTTCGACAGCGTCAGACCATGCGGAGTGCCAGTGCCATTGCCCATCACACACCCAGAGCCTCCATTGAGACAAGCGGAGCAAGAGGACAGGAGCAGCTTGGAGTGCCCATGGTGCCACAAGAGATTCCCCAAGAGGCCCGCGATGCAGCAGCACATTGTTCAGCAGCACCATGCGTTTGTAAGACACGTTGAGCTTGTCATGGGCCAGTCTTCCACATGCAGAGCCTGTGCCACGTCTTTCTCACAGAGAAGGCAAGTCAGAGACCATCTGGCATTTGATTCCGCGAGGTGTTGCTTAGCTTATGTTCTGCATGGGGCGGAGGCCGCAGCCACCATTGCACGGGCATGGGCCCAAGAGGACGCAGCAGAGATGCTAGCTCAAAGGAGAGCTGGTCTAGGGCGTTGGAGGTCAGCCTTTCCAGCCACTACGCATGTCCCTCCTGAAGGCCTCATACGGGACTCCAGTTGGGTGTTTGTGTCGCTATCTGAAGAAGCTAGGGAAGTACTCAGGAATTCTCTCTACGAGCTCACCGACGAGGCCAGAAAGATCATTTGCCAAGACGCTCCTGCAGCCACCAACAGCGCCTCAGAAGATCCAGAAGCCACCGTAGGGGACAACGTGTACCAAGACAGATACTACATTTACCGACCCCAGGACTTCCAGGACACAGCACTGGAGGCTATACCAGTACGTATTCACAGAGCGGAGATTTGTATCTTACACCTTTTTTCTGGCATGAGAAGGTCAGGTGACGTACAGCCCCACATCGAGGCCGAAGCCAGTATGCCAGAATGCCAGATCACAACGCTCTCGGTCGACATTGCTATACACACGTTGAAGGGGGGTCTTACTAGGAGGCAAACCATAAATGAGTGCAGGGGGCATATCAGAGCACACAGAGTCTGGAACACGGGGGGGCCCCCCATGTGAAACGTGGTGTGCAGCGCGTGGGCTGGAGGGGCCCCCCCCCCACTACGCACCAACGAATACATGTGGGGGGTACAGTGGGCCACGACAACACAACAAAAACAATGGAGACGGGCAACAAACTGTTATTTGCGCTTCTGCAGTTGCTAGGAGACCACCTCGCGGCAGGAACGAGTGGATGGATGGAGCATCCACAGCCGGCAACATGGAGACAGCAAGCGCCCACATCTTTCATGTGGGGTCCGCTCAGAGCATTGTCTTCCTCCCCCATCTCGTCTACCACGGCCTTGACCAGTGCGTATTCCAGAACCTCCCAGCAGCAGAAGTAGGACGTGCGCCGACATGGATAGTTGCCATACGTATGCCCTCATTACATACACACATTACGGCACAGGGAAATGGAGGGAGATGCCACCATGGCAGACAAGTACACATGACACTTGTGGGCAAGACTCCCGACCGACGCTGTTTCAAAACAAGTACCAAGAAAACGTACCCAACCCGTTTGGCTGAAGCCTTGGCTGGGTTTATTTCAGATACTGTGCGGAATAGTGCTGACAACAGCCTGCCGATGATGTGTGACCCAGAGGAAATATCTCAAGGTCTCAGAGAATTGTACGCCAGGCTTGACCCAGACATGGAGTTCATTCGAGCACCCGACTTCGTGGGATGAAACAAGAAGAAGGACCGAGGCGACCCAGAGGTGAGCAGATGGCATTGTTTGCAGTCCCCACCTCCTCCCATGTTGTCGTCGCCCTCGCCTCGCCCCTCCCCCTCCCCCCGCCGCCGCCTCCCGCCCGAAGTGGAAGGGCAGGCCCCAGGGGAGGTGGCCAGGCCGCAGGAGGACGCCGATGCGCCCCTCGAGGCCGGCCCCCCTGTGAACACCCCTTCTCCCCCTCATCCTCCTCCTCCTCCTCCTCCTCCTCCTCCTCCTCCTCCTCCTCCTCCTCCTCCTCCGCCTGTGGAGTTGACTGAGGAACAGAGAGCACGTATTGCTGTCAACAGGGCCGCGGCCAGGGAGCGCAGATTACAGCGTATAGCTCCCCGGCGCGGCACTCTTGAACTCAAATTTTAACTTGGTTTCTGGTCTGTTTTTCCTTCCAGGATTCCCTGAAGGTTTTCCAGATAGGTCAAGCTGTGAGCACACGTCGACCGTCATGCCAACGTTGCACCACCACCACCTCCCTCCTCCCTCCTCTCTCCTCCCTCCTCCCTCCTCCCTCCTCCCTCCTCCTCCTCCCTCCTCCTCCTCCCTCCTCCTCCCCTCCCCTCTCCTCCTCCTCCTCCTCCTCCATTTCTCCTTTTCCCCCGCCTGCCTCCTCCTCCTCCTCCTCCTCCTCCTCCTCCCTCCTCCTCCTCCTCCTCCTCCTCCTCCTCCTCCTCCTCCTCCTCCTCCCGTCTCCCATTCTCCGCCATACTCCTCTTGTCTGCCCTTTTCCTCCTGATCCCCCCCCTATGCACTGCCTTTCGTCAGACAACCGACGTTCCCTGACGA